ACACACACACACACACACACACACACACACACACACTCACAATCAATCAATCAATCAAACCCCTTTTTTGAAGTTTTTTCTTTATTTGTTTTCAAATTTTCCATCTGCATTTTTTTAAAACACCTCATACCCCTGTAAAAAACAGCGATTCATTTCTAAAAAAATACAGGTGAACTCAGGGACCATATATCTCATGATAAAAAATGACAAAAAAAAAATCCAGCTTTTCTTTATATTTATTTTTTAATTTTCTTTAAATCGAATTTAGTTTTGGATTTTTTTTAAATCCTAAACAAAGTCAGATTCCAAAAAAACAAAAATGGGGTTGTAGGGCTTAAAATTCCCTACAACCCCATATATATATATATATATATATAACCTATTATTTAATTCAGGAAAATTCTAGTAAAATCAGGTCCGCGGCGCGGACCAGGTCGGCCGCGGACGAGGGCCCATCTGCGTCCGCCATCCGAGATCGGACCTGCGGACGCGTCTGCGGGTGTTTCATAGGCAGGGAGGAGGGACGCAGGTTTGTTGCTGGACCTGATGCATGCCGAAGGACTGGTGTATCCTTTCAGGTCTTTGAACCCAGACAACCTGGGGTTTACCTGGTATTCGAATGTAAGGAAAGAAAGCGGTGAGATGTGCAGACGTCGCCTGGACTATTTTTTGGTAAATAACACCCTGGCACAGCAGGTCACGGTGATCAGACCAGTGTCCCACCCCCTCTCTGATCACAAGCCAGTGTTAGCAGAGATCGTGGTGGAAACTCTAGGGGAGAGGGGTAAAGGCTACTTTAAGCTAAACTCCCAGAATCTAGAGGAGGTGAGACTGAGGGAGTGGGTCGCGGAGCACATGGGGGCCTGGGCGTCATTAAGACTGCATTTCTCCTCAACGGCAGAGTGGTTAGAAGGGGGGTTAGCCACCATCTCAGGGGTGATGGATGCCTCCTCGCGGATCCTAGCTAGGGAGCGGAACAAAGAAGAGGAGTTGTGTAGGTTGGCGGTGGAAGCGGCGGAGAGAAGGATGGAGGCTCACCCCATTTCGGAACTGGCGTGGGCCAGGAAAAGGGAAAAACGCATGGCAGATTGGGATAAGCTGCAATTGGAAAGGCAGGGGAGATGGGAAGAGGCTCTGAAACTCAAATGGATCATGGTGCAGAATCGACTTACCAAGGAAACTTTCCGCAGGCTACTACCGAGCTATATTGCACGCCCGGTCACGGCCGGGGGCAAAAACTCGGCCGCGGCCACGGCCGACGGCCAGGTTCGGTCACAGCCGAACGGCCGAGTTTGGTGTAGGAGTTTTTTTTTTTTTTTAACGCATGAAGAAAAAAAACAAATGGGTGTGTAGGGCTAAAAAAACCCTACACGCCCATATTTGTTTTCGGGGCATTGCTGTTTTCTATTGTGTAAAACAAAATAAAAACAAAAAAAAGAAAATGAAAAAAAAAAATGCTTTGAAACCCCACGCAAGTATGTGTGTGTGTGTGTGTATGTGTGTGTGTGTGTGTGTATATGTGTGTATGTGTGTGTATGTGTGTGCGTGTGTGTGTGTGTGTGATCAGGTGGGGGGGGCGACCCCTCCCCACTAATCAATCAATCAATCAATCAATCAAAAAAAAAAAAAAGAGAGAAAGAAA